AGTATCACTGTATCTTACATTCTTTATTTTAATTACTTTGCACCAGATCTCTAACCTCAGTACATTAAGAAGTCCAAATTGCCCCTATTCTAAAATACTTTATATTACTATTTTTTAAAATGTTGTTGTTGTGTCCCATAGAATCGGACTCAACCCATAACTGACTTGCCAGAAGGTTTTCAGAGACAGTTTAGCGCATGGGAGAAGATTGCCCATCCCTCTCCCACAGATCAGCCGGTAGCCTCGAACCCTGTGCCTTCAGGATTGCAGCACAGCTTCTTGCCACTAGGCTACCAGAGCTCTCTTTTAATGTAATGATGGAATATGAATAAGTAAAATACACACTGCTTTAACCATCTACTCTCTACTTCAAATTTCCTTTGTTTCTTCAGTGCTCCTCTGGGGTGGTTTCTTTCAGGCCGAATTAGTAGTCTTCACCCCATTTTTCTGACAAGCACAGTGGAGATATATATGCTAACAAGCATCACTAGAAGACAAGCAACTGTGGGTGGGAGGCTGGAAAAGGGGAGAATAATTGGCATTAGCGGTGGCTGGGCTGGTGGTAGGTAGATGGACATGCAAATGTCTCGTAGCTCCCCAGAGGCACTATTCCTGTTGTCCTTAGAGCCGTTTTGTCTTGCTTACTGTCTAGCTTCTCTCTTCCCTTCTCATAGGATTTCTCCAAGATCTAAACATTATATACTGTGTCCCCTGAGAATTGCATTAAGCTATGTGGGCAGGTTTTTTGATAGCTCTATCTTAGACTAAGTTCCCTAGAGAAGCAAAACCAATGAAGCCTCAGGAGATATATTTCAAGGAAATAGCTCATGAGCTTTTTAAGGCTGGCAAATCCCAGGTCTGTGGGTCAGACCTCAAGAGAGAGGGATCTGGGAGGCGAATGAGTTCTGCCCTTTGGGCAGGTAAGAGCTGAGATCTTTAAAGATTCCTGAACTGAGGGACAGACCAATTCAAAGGACATCATGAGGAGTGGGGTCAAAGGCTGCTGGCTTTGAAATGTCGGGGAGCAGGGTAGAAGACTGCTGGCTTCAGACCTGATGAATCCAAGCTCATCAGGTATGGCAGACCTTTGGTTCAAGCCAGATCACCAGATACAGGACAGGACAAAAAGTTCCCTAGCATTGCCAGAGTCTACACTGAAATTCAACAAAGACCACAACCCTGAGAAAACTTCTTCAGATCAGACAGCTTATATCTTTCCAGAACCACCACTGATCCTAATCCAATAATGGGAGTTAAATTTACAATATATAGTATAGTTCCTTGGAGGCAAGGATTCTGAAGCTTCATCTGGCATACTTTGGACATGTTGCAAGGAGGGACCAGTCCTTGGAGAAAGGATATCAATCATGCTTGGGAGGGTGGAGGGACAGCATGGGAAAGTAAGACCGTCTATGAGGTGGATTGATTCAGTGACTGGGATAATCAGGGTAGATGTGTTAGGGACAGTGAGGTTGACACAGGAGAGAGCAAGCTTTAGGGCTGTTGTACATAGGGTCACTGTGAGTCGCGGGCACCTAAGAACAACAACATTCCACTAGAGATCATGGTCATGTTAACACACAGTATTAACATCACAAGCTCTAAAGTAGAAGTCTTCTCTGGGACCATTTTTACCTCTCCAGTTCACAGTATTTGTGGATTAACTCTAATTGACTTCTGAATGTAAGGGGCTTCTCATTTCTCTCAAACTCTAACAGTCATGTCCTAAAATTACAAAATCACTACATATCCCAAACCAACACATTTTCTCTCTCTCCCATTTTCAGCTTTGTCTCATTGTCAAGCCATCTTTCTAGCCACTCAGAGTTAAAGCCGTAACAGCTTCCAGCTCCTGTTCCTCACATGCAGGACTTGGCCACGTGCTACCAGGTACCCATAAAGACTCTTACTCCCATTCATTTTGCTCTAATCCTACTCTCAATCTTCGGTCTTGTCTCAACGTTAATATTTTATTTTATTAGTTTTAATGAAAGTTTACAGAGACTTTGGATTTCCATTCATTCATTGTTGCACTTTTCTCCCTGCGCAACCTCTAGCCCCTAGTTTGTTCTTCTCTTTGAAAAGTAAAAGAAAAATTCTTTCATTGTTATACAATCCCTCCTTCCAAGTCCACTCCACTATGCTACATGTTTTCTGAACTCTTGTCATGACAATAATACCTACTCATATATCCCTTTTAAACAGTTTTCTCCCTCATCTGTTTCAATGCAGTATACATAATTTATCTCATCTTTCTCAGTCTCCCCCCAACCCTGATGTCAGCGTTAATCTTTACACCATCTCCTACCTTTCACTCTTCAGGGAACCCTGGTTGTGTGTAGAGAGTTAGGCTACTTGCCCAAAGACACAGTGTCTTAGGCTGCTCAAGTCCATCAGCCACAGGAGAAAGATGGACAATCTCCTCCCATGCAGTTTACAGTGTCCAAAGTCTCACTCGAGGGTCAGGTATGAGTCGATGCTGACTCATTGGCAGTGAGTGGTTGTGTGCTGTTTCATCCAGCACTGTTCTGACTCTCATAGGAGCAACAGAAGAGCCTAGCACAGGCTGGTGGCATTGTTTTTGACTTTGCTTGCTGTAGGCAGTCTTTGCCCTCCTGTTTACATGCTCTAGTGTTCAATGTCCCTTTGTGTGTGTGTGTGTGTGTGTGCGTGTGTGTGTGTGTGTGAATGTCACCTCCTACCTTCAGAGATTCATTGCTGCTGCCTCCTCTAAACCTCTCCTCTAATTTCCTGAGGAAGTGAGACTTTTTCTCACCACCCGTTACCATAGAGTCAGCTCTGACTCAGGCCAGCCCGGAGTGTTAGAAAAGGGCTGTGCTCCACGGCATTTTCGGTGGCTAATTTTTCTGAAATAGAGTGGCAGGTCTTTCACTTCTGAGGTGCCCGGGGAGGAAAGGACCTTTCTGTCTGCAATGTAGCTTGTTAACTCTACAAGACCAGGAGGCCAAATACCCCCAAAATCATTTTTGTGCTTGTCTTTCACACATAATGTTGTTTTCTACCTCCTATTACTGTAGTGAGTGTAGATGTGTCAGAGACAATAAGATTGGCACAGGATAGAGCAGATTTCAGAGCTATTGTATACAGGGTCACTGTAAGTTGCAAGCTACTTGGTATGTAACAACAACATTATTGTAACTTGTGTTTATACTTTCTCTCTTACTAAACCAAACAGGTGTTCAGAGTAGGATCTGTGCATCACTCAAAGCAAACCAGCCTAGTTCAAGCTTTAAAGTATCTTTTAAATGTTTGGAAGAGCTGAGATAATAATTATCAAAAGCCCATTTGTTTAGAAGAGATATTTAATGCTCAGATAGGTTGAGTAGTGAAATTTTGTTTCATTTCATAGATCCAGACTTCCTGTTTCTTCCATGAGTTAAAGTCTACCATATGTAGGTGAACTCTGTGTAAGGAAGAGAGTAGGACATGTTTTAATAATGGGCAAAGTGAGACTGAACTCAAGTCCTGCCGACACCAAGAGCCTTTCTCTTGATGCGTGGTCATCACCACGATCTTTTCTTTGCTGTCTTCTACAGATAGGGACATCCATAAGTAGGAAATTCTGGAAATTTAAAAAAAAAAATTAGGTTTTTTTCATTGTGAGTTAGAGTTAGAAAAAAAAAAGATGTAAATTAAGATTTGCTCTGGTGACGTGGTGATTTAAACACTTGGCTACTAACCTCTAGGCCAGTAATTGGAACCCACTCAGTGGGAGAATGATGAAGTAGCTTGCCTCCTTCAAGATTTCAGAAACCCTGTTATAAGGCAATTAATTATATTTAATCCTACCGGGCTTCTGTGATGTGCAACTTTCTTGGCAGTACTGGGGTTGTTTTTTTTTTGTTTCACTCCACAGGTAAAAGTCCCTCAAAAAAATATTCACATAGCTTTCTAAAACCCTCGATTTTCATTGTCAGCAGTTTTGCCAGTACACTTGAAAATGTCCTGCTTTCTACTTTGGATGTTGGAACCAATTGTTAGTTTCTGTGGGTTCCTGCAATCCTTCTTACCAACAAGACTAGTGCCATCTAGTGGTTAAAAAAAAGAAACCGACTGGAAACCCTAAGTCTGTAAACTTTCATTAAAATTAATAAAAAAAGAAAAACCATCTGAAGCTCTAGATTTTCTGCATCTAGGAGGAGTTGTTTTCCTTCATTTTGTTTTTTAGTGCTTTTGGGAGATAATTTTGAGGGATATACGCTAAAAAATTTATTTGGCCCATAATTTTATGTCAAATGTATTATACAGATTTATTTGTATGTCAGTTAAAGGAAACAAAATGTTGTAAAATATGACCCTCATCAAATTCTCAGAACTGGGTGGGGAGAAAAGTGCATAATGAATGAATTGAAATCCAAAATCTCTGTAAATGTTCATTGAAATTAATAAAAAAAGAAAAAGAAAAAATTCTCAGAATTGTTGTTATGTGTCATTGAGTCGCCTGCGACCCATAGCAACCCTATGCACAGCAGCTCTGAAGTCTGCCTGTCCTGAGCCAGTCTCACTGACCCCTACACACCTACCTCCATTGCCAGTCACTATATCAATCCATCTCATCCAGGTCTCCCTCTCCTGTGCTATCCCTCCAACCTCCCAAGCATGATGTCCTTCTCCAAGGATCGGATTAGTAAAAACATAATCTAGAATAAGAGGTGGAAAGGAGGGTAAATTACTATTTAAAGTAATCTAGTTTCAGTTAATTATTATTTATAAGGTTTTAGAAAGCCAACAGTTACTGGATTTCCTGATTTGGCATACAGGTGTGCCTCACTTAGTGTCCATAATACCAAAATGAAAATTGAACGTCTTGCTACCTAGTCAGCTCCAACATATGACAGCCTTCCACTGGCCTTCCGAGCCTAGGAATATTAATGGGAGGAGACCACCCTTAGCCTAATGTCACTAGGGCCCCTGTGGTATGTTCTTTGAAACAGGACCTTGTGTGTGAACAGCTGTGTGCATAGAAGAAGGGCTCCTACATGCACTGGCCTGGAAGCTCCTTTGAGATTCAGGTAGTCAGCTCTCACGGCCGACTCTTCAAGTGTGTGTCCCACTCCTCTGTCACCACCTTCGCTGCTAAGCCAGCGCTGGAAAGGCCAGTTGAACTGTTAGACTCTGACCGGAAAGGAGGTGGCACAAGCCAAGCTGACCAAGTATACCTGAACCAAGAGTACATTCCTTTTTATTTGTACCATCTGGAATCATGCCCAGCAAAAGGAGGTGACTAGACCCTCTGGATTGACAAGGACAAGGGAAACTGGGTAAGGAGTTTAGGCCTGGGCCTCCAACACTCTTAAGTGGCTTAAGGGGCAGCAGACAGACAGAAGTGGGGCTCTGACCTCAAGACTTTTGTCAAAAGTCCTGTCACTTGGACATCTGGGTGCCCTGGATGTATGTAGCCTGAGCTCATGAGAAAAGCACCACAGACCAGTGTTCCTTTTCTCCTCTCCACATCCAAGAGGCCCATTACTGAGTTTGTGAATTACTCAGGCTCCCTTCTCTTCCCTTTGCTGGTCTGATTTTACACAGCGGCCATCAGAAGTGTTGGCCCCAGAGCAACAACATCTTCCACCTCTTAACCCTTGTTAGAGAGGCAAATTCTCAGTGTCTGCCCCGGATCTGTGAACTAGACCTTTTGGGATGGAGCCCAGCAATCTGTGTATAACAAGCACTCCAGGTTACTGAAAAGTACTTACTCTTGACTTTACAACTGATATTCTCCTTTTTCAAATGGTTTAAGGGTCAAGGAAATTGAAATTTAACTTTTCTAGACCTTTACTTTGCCAATGCCGGGGAGAATGAAAACTGTCTTTGATTACACAAAACTTAAATTGAGAATTTGCAACAGGCACTTAGAATTGAAGTATAGTAGTACAGTGCAACATTGCTACAACATTGCAAATATTACAATATTTTAAACTTTGCTTCAGTCTTTTCTTCACCAAAGAAATTGCCTTATTTTGTGACACTAATTTTAGTATAACTCATATGAGATCATCATTGTGACATTAAATTAGCCTACACTTCAGAGAAGAGGTAAAAGATAAAGCATACACTTTATTAGAAAAATCAGGTTCACACGTCACATTCAGATTGTAAAAACGTAAGTTCAAAATACTGCCTTTTTATTGTGGGAATTTTTTGTTCTGCTTTTTAGTTAGCAATTTGGGAAAGAGTTTTCATTTCATACATAAAATCACTTCTTGAGTGAAGCTGCTGCAGGAATTGGGTCATTTATAAATTGCATGTTTAAGCCAGGATTTTAGAAATGCACTAGTTAGCCTAACATATTTTCTAAATTATTTCACCTAAAATAAGAAATTTTGTAAAGATTACTGAAAGTAGGTGAAATATTCATTTTACTTCTATCAGATTGATCACAGAGTAGGTCAATAAAATCAGCAGTCCACACTCACTACACTGGGTCACTTGAAATTTTCTGAGTGTTTTAAGCTTTGTATTTAAGACACCACAAAATCTTTCTGATACCCTTCTAATGGGCTGTACCCACTGTCCTTCAGCTGATTCTGATTTGTGACCATCCTTCATCTGTTTCTGAGGCTTGGACTGTTTATTGGAGAAAACTGTCCCATCTTTTTCCTGAGCACCTGGTGGATTCAAAAGGCTGGCCTTTTCTTTAGCAACCCAATGCATAATGCACTGTGCCGCCGCCACCACCCCACTCTTGTCTGTGTCACTAGGAAAAGCAAGATACTGTCATTGATAAATGACATTGATTGTCATTGTTTTATCTCCCTTTATTTACTTTTATTCCACTAAAACAGAAAATACTTTAAAAATAACGTCTAGGATTATTTCTGACTGCATTCTATATAGGAAAAGGAGGAATAAAGAACTTTAAAAGTTGTCTTGGATGGAAGAGTAGGGCAAAAGGACAATATTACAGGTAGGTGTTGACTGTGATTGTTCATAGCTGATATGAGTTTAAATAAGAACATACTGGATTATTTCTAAACAACTACTGAAAATCACCTGCTTACCACTCCACTCACCTTCTCTATAGAGTCAGTTCTGGCTAAATGGAAATAATAAGCTATTCTAAGACCTTGCTTGAAGGAATATTTTTTAAGTACTTTGTTAAAAACACCTCCTTAAGAAAAATTTTTTTTAAAAAAAGCACCTCCTCAGTGATAAAATCATGATTAGTTTGGAAATGAAAGCTTTAAGGACCACCTCACCGTAGACTCCTGGAAGCACAGAAGAACGTTTCACAGTCGCACTTAGAGGCCAGACGCGCCCAGTCTGTGATGTCTCATCCAGTGACTCACGAACTCACCTGGATTTGGCTGATCGGAGTCACCGAGGTGACCTCAGAGGAGGAAGTCTTTACTAAGGGTGCTGACCCGAGAACAAAGAGTCCAGTCATAGATTGTGTTTTCGCAGTGATATTTGGCCTTTCCTCATGCCTTGCCAAAAGAATCTCTTTTCCTTGCCAGTTACTAGTAAGGCCAAAATCTTAAGATACCTTGACAGAAGTGAAAGCTTTGGTCAGTTGGGATAGCTTTTGAAGAATTTTTCTGGTTTATCTACAAAGTTACTATTTTTCCTCTTCAGTCTTAAAAGGATGTCTGTCACGCAACATTGTTCTTCCTTCTGAGGAAAAATGAATCATGGACTTCATGGTTGGGACAGACTGCAATGTTCGTCTTATCCAAGCATTCTTCTAATATTTAAATCCCTTTTACGGCCTCCTCATTGGAGATTACTCAGACTTTGCACTAAAGGGGAGTGGAGGACAGAGACAGGGAAAAATCCACTTTATGCCATTTGTATTGTCTGCGATACACTAATATCTATTTGGAAAAGTAGGTTATGACCACGATCCTCTGGAAGTTATCCAGCCTTCCAGACCTTATTATTTCTGTATCAGCGTTTCAAGCAGAGAAATGTGAATCTAAGTCCAAGTTTCTCAGCCTCAATACTTTTCCATTTGAGGCCAGTTAATACTTAATTGTGCTCATATGAAACTTATACCTAGACAAAGAAGCTATTGTTTGAACAGAGCAAGGGAACACTGAATAGTTTAAAATCAAGAAAGGTGTGCATCAGGGCTGTATCCTTTCTCCATACCTAATCAGTCTGTAACTAACCAAATCATTAGAGATTCTGGAGTCTATGAAGACTATGACGCCAGGGTTATTAGGTAGAATCACTAACAACCTGCATTATACAGATGGCACAAACTTGATTGCTTAAAGTGAGGAGGACTAGAAATGGTTGCTGCAGAAGATCAAAGACTAAGCCTTCAATAAGGATTGCATCTCAACAGCAAGAAAACAGGAATCCTCACTACTGGACCAATAGGCAACATCATGCCAGATAGAGAAAAAAATGGAAACTATCAACAGCTTCATTTTGAGTTAATCCACAGTCAACACCCTTGATACCAGCATTTAAAAGATCAGGAGACATACTACATTGGAAAAGTCCACTTACGGGCCTCGCCACATTACTGAAGAGCAGTGATCTCAGTTTGAAGGTTAATGTGCCTGGTTCTGGCTGTGGTCTTTTCAGTCACTTGCTATGCATCTGACAGCTGGAAAATGAAAAAGGATGGTAGAAGAATTGAAGCCTTTGGTGATGTTGGAGAATATTGAATATCCCATAAACTGCCAAAAGCATAAATAGATATGTCTTGGAGAAAGTGCAGCCTGAGTGCTCATTAAAGGCAAAGATAACAAAGCTTTATCTCATACACTTTGAGCATGTTGTTGTAGTTATGTGCCATCGAGTTCCTTGTGACTCATAGCAACCCAGTGTACAGCAACTCTGAACCCTGCTCTATCCTGAGCCAATTCATCGTCTGACACACCTATCTTCATTACCCCAGTCACTGAGTCAATCCATCTCATCCAAGGTCTTCTTCTCTTGCACTGTCCCTCCACCTGCCCATCCTCCCAACCATTGACGTCCCTCTCCAAGGACATGCCCAAAGTATGTCAGAGCTTCAGAATCCTTGCCTCCAAGGAGCATCCTGGTTTTGCCTTCTCCTGGATGACCCTGTTTGTTCTCCTAGCAGTCCATGGTGTATTCAATACTGTTCTCCAGCACTATAGCTCAAAGGCATCAATTCTCCTATCATCCCTAGTCATTGTCCAACTCTCTGATGCTTAGCTAGTAATTGAAAAGACCATGACCTGGATCAGGTGCACCTACGTCTCTAGAGTTACATCAGTGCTCTTCGGTACTCTAGAGATGTCTCTGACAGTTGACTTCCCTAGTACAATTCGTCTTTTGATTTCCTGTCTGCTGGTACCAAGAGTGTTGATTGTGGAACCAATTGTTTACAATCTCAATCTCTTCACCGTCTATCATGATGTTGCCAATAGGCCCAGTAGTGAGAATCCTTGTTTCCTTGATATTAAGTACAATCATGTGTTCTGGAATTACCTTCCTTCTCAGTGTTAGCCACAGTGTGCTGTGATTCACAGAGTCAAACACCTTTACATATTCAATGAAACACAGATTTTTATCTGGAACTCTGCTTTCAGCTAAGATCTATCTAACATTGACTATAATGCATGTTGTTAGGACTGTGTTGTTAGGAGAGCCTATTCCTTCGAAAGGGACATCATTCCTGGAAAGATGGAGAGTCAGTGAGAGAGAGGAAGACCTCTCCCAACGAGATAGATTGACACAATGATTGCAGCAACAAGTTCAACTATGTCAGAGATTATGAGGACAGCACAGGATAAGAATAAGATTCAGATCGATTGTGTATATGGTCACTATGACTTGTACTTGCCTCAAATACACATAGCAAGTACCCTTTGCCAGGAGCTCTAGTGGCCTAGTGGGTAAGGAGTTCTGCTGCCAAACCCAAAGTCAGGCAGTTCAAATTCACCAGCAGCTCTATGGGAGAAAGATAGGCAGTCTGCCCTTGTGTGATTTACAGCCTCAGAAAACCTGCTGGAGGGTCAGCTATAAGTCAGTTCTGACTTGATGGCATCAAATGTTTGCAAGAGTGTAGAACCTGGACATGTCCTAGGCATGATGGGAATGTTGTACAGCTCTACTGATCTTTCCTCACTTTATACTGGTCAGACTGCTTCCAGACATTAGCAAATATCCTCGGGTGTAGGGTGTAGGGCAAAGAGTTAAGAAACACTAGTTTAAGCATCAGTTCTGTGAGGTAGAGTCCTAAGGAACTATCTAAATGGCTTTAGGGTATATGAATTGTTACTCCTGTGCCTTTGAGTTGGAACTGACTCATAACTGACCCTCCAGCAGAATGTCACAGGCAGTAAATCACACAGGAGAAGATTGTCCATCTTTCTCCCATGGAGCAACTGGTGGATTTGAGCAGAGTATAGTGGGGTTGGCAGTGCAGTTCCTTAACCATTTTACCACTAACACTGTTTTGGTATGTATATATCCCTGTGATTTACTAACTAGATTTCAGGAGCCCATGTATGCAGAAGAGAAAAGGCAAACATGACTGAGAAAATCCAAACTGAATCAGTTTGTGAGGAATTTATGTCCAATAAATGGTAAACAGAGAAGATAAGATTAGGGCATGGGTAAAATAGGAAGGAGAGAGATTTTTGCTTAGTTGTTTGTTGTTGATTTTAAAAATACTGTATTTGTAATTTCAAGGTGAGACAGTGTAGATCAAGAATAGCAATTCTTCCTTTTGGTCCTAATGTTGGAATGAGGCAAAGGGAAAAATTAAAACTTATTTCCTTTTCACTGAAGTCAGTCATGATAGTTAAGCTTACCTCCTTCTTTTTTTTTTCTTTTTTTAGTTAGTAGGTTACTATATAAATATATAAAAATAACAGTATCCTAGGTGGTAGGTTGATTTTTGTTGATTTAACTTGATTAGTGTCTACGATATCCTCCGTGGTAGATTGTACATTAAAAATTAATTTGGTGATAAACTGTGTGTTGTTGTTATGTGCTGTCCAGTAGCTGAGGACGCATAGCAACCTTATGAACCGCAGCCCCACCCTGAGCCAACCTCACTGTCTGCAACACGCCTGACACCATTGCCACAATCACCGTGTCAATCCATCTCATCCGGGGTCTTCCTCTCTTGCGCTGACCAGACCTTATACTATTCCAAGCATGATGTCCTCCAAGGACAGGCCCTTCCTGACAACATGCCCAAAGCATGTGAGGAAGAATTTCAAAATCTGCCTTCAAGGAGCAGTCTAGTTTCACCCCCTCCAGGACAGACTTGTTTGTTTTCTTAGTAGACCATGGTGTGTTCAGTACTCCTCTCCAGCACCAGAGCTCTGATGATTTTCTTTTTATTATTATTATTATTTATTGTTATTATTATTCACACAATGATCATGTGACATTTCCAAATATGTAGTTATCAATGTCAAGATTTTGTTTTCTAATGTAACAATGTAACATTAGAATTATAGTAACTTCCATTTGTTTTAAATGAAATTTTATTTTAATTGTCATTTTAACAAACATTTACAGAGAAGTTAGATTTTCATTCATTTCTTTTTGCTAAATAAATTCTTTTATCTTACAGATCTGCTTTAATTTTGGAAATGGACTTCATTTAGAGGTAAGGAACCAGAAGAATTATTTCTGTCTTTTTATACTCTAAGCTTACTTTAATGGCTGTGCCCTTCCACATTAAAAATGCACACTCCCTTTGAGCCCGCTGCCCCCAATCGCACAAGTTCATGCTATATTCAAGAGTGTTCATTGCAGCTTCTTTGCAAATCTAAATCTAAATAACTGTCCGTAAAGGGAATAGAAGGTAAGACAATATCCTGTGGAAGAATGTCTGGAATAAGGTAGTGATTTTAAAATCAAGAAATGAGTGAGACATTTGAGTAAGTCCATTTCTATAAGGTTAAGGAGAAAAAACAAACACTTGAGGGGGTAGGTGTATGTGTGCGTGCATGTGTCAAACATGTATGTCTAAAACATTGTCATAAAAGATACTCATCAGGCTATTAACAGTGATTAATTTGTGAAGTAGAAGCAAGAAGCCTGGGTAAAGTTTTACATTTTTCATATAAACTTTAAAATTGTGATTTTATATTATATGAAGGTGTTTAAGGTATTAATTCAAGTAAAAAGGCAAGGACATCAATAATAGTAAAAAATCAATGTAAATATTTTGAAATAAAATGCTTGTTCATCTAGGTGAGCAAAACAAATAAATTATTATAATTTCTAGTCTTAAGATACTATATGTGCTATAGTGAAATTTCTCATGAATTAAAAAAATATATATTCATTCACACATAAAAGCCCAATGGAATATTTACAGAATAGTTTTCCAGCTAAAATTTTTGATACAGAGAAAAGAAATTTAGACTTTTACTTAATCCTTAAGTGAGTAATGTCATTCATTAGCAGTTCCACAAGCTTTACTCAAATATATGTTGATATGTTGCTAAAGTTTAGTTCTCAGATGAGAATAGTTTATTTTATTATCTTCATTTTCCATTCATTAAATTTGGCTATGGGCATAATATTTTCTCTACCAATTTGTAAAACCACTAAGTTACTGTTTAGCTTTTTAAATTCTTTACTCTGGGAAATATTTTCTTACTGTTAAAAACAAACCTCTCTTGCTTTCCTGGCTTAGAGACAGTCTGTCAGACACCACGGAGGTTTAGTTAATTTGTTGTCACTATTGGGTTGTTGCAGACCTTAGGCACGAGAAGAGAAAATGAGCTTCCTCCTCGCCCTGCTCACTTGGTGCGGCAGAAGCGTGCCTGGATCACGGCTCCCGTGGCTCTGCGGGAAGGGGAGAATCTGTCCAAGAAGAACCCAATCGCCAAGGTACATCAAAGCCACAACATGAAATATGTGCTTCATTCAAATATGGTGTGCGAGGCTTTGTACGTTCACTTTTTAAATTCAAGCTAAATGTATACTTGTTCCTTTTTCTTTTCATATTCAGGGCACATTTAAAAATTAACATTAAGCTAAAAATTAGCTTAATGGGTGACCCTGGAGGACATTATACTGAGTGAAATATCTCATTCACAAAAGGGTAAATGCTGTATAGTGCCACTGACTGAGAAAGATTGGATAAATTATATATATGCTGCATTGAAACAAATGAGGCAGAGAACAGTTTCAAAGTGATATATGATTGGGTATTATGGTTATGACAAGAGTCCAGAATGAAGGCTGCATAGTAGAGTGTACTGGGTGGAGGCAGGGGAAGGGGGGGAACTCTATACCAGTGAAAGAATTTTTCTTTTACTTTTCAAAGAGAAGAATGAACTGGGTGGGAGGGATGGGCAGGGAGAAAAATACAACAGTGAATTAATGGAAATCCAAAACTCTGTAAATACTCATTAAAATTAATAAAAAAAATTTAAAAATGTTTAAAAATTAGCAGAGCTTTTTAACAGGAAGGATAATATTTAAGGTACCACATTATTGGCCATTAATAATAATAATATACACACGTTTCAACACATAAGTAAGGAAACAGGCACTGGTTTAGTGTTTGACATTAAAACTGTTGGAATACAAGAAAATATTATCATAAAAACATAGTTCACTAAATGAAAGGAAACTGTGGTCTAATCATGTTGCTGTTATTAAGTGCTAGTGAATCAGTTCTCATTCCTAGTGACCCTGTTTATAACAGACTAAAAAACTACCCAGTCCTGTGCTGTCCTCACTATAGCCGCCATGTTTGTGCTAATTGTTGGGAGCTCTAGTGTCAATCTGTCTCCTTGAGCATCTTCCGTCTTTTCTTGACCCACGTAAAGTCTCTCCAGCCTTGCTTATACGGAGCATTCTGACTGTACTTTTTCAAGCCAGATTTGTTTGTTCTTCTGGCAGTCCGTGGTTATTTTCAGCATTCTTACCCAACACTGTAATACAGATGCACCACTGCTGCTTTGGTCTTCCCTAGTCTTGGCTTTCAAATGCATATCAGGTTATTGAAAATACCATGACTTGACTCAAGTACACCTTAGTCCTCATCATGGCATCTGCTTTTAAATATCTTTATCTTTGGGAGCGAATCTTTGCCATTTCATAGATAAGAAAATTAAAGCACAGGGAAATAAAGTAACTTCTTCTGTTGCATAACTAGTGAAGGACTGCAGTAGAATTAGAGACCATGCTTGCTGATACCAGCATCTTTGCTCTTAAGTCAACTTATTGAGACTCCCTCCCTCTTACTAGCATTGTGACAGCTTCAGTGAGGAATTTTCCATTTAAAGTATATACATGCATGCAAACAATTCATATTTAAAAAGTAGACAGAGGCCATAAACAGTCACTTCAACAAAGAATCATTCAGTTAGCCAACAAGCATGAAGAATGATTCATGATCATTAATCATTAAAAAGCTAACTGACTCTCCCATTGATAATTCTGACTCATAATGAGTCCTGTCAAATTGCCAAGGCTGAAAATCGTAATGGGAGAGACTGTTCCTCTTATTTCAGCAGAGCTGCAGGGAAGTTTGAATTAGTGGAGGAGCACGGTCTTTGGGTTAACAGTGTAACTCACTTTGAACTATACCACCAAAACTCCCCTTAGCCATGAGATGCAAATCAAAGCCACAGTGAGATACCAGCTCACCTCATAAAACAAGAGCAAAATTTAATGTGACAGAAACTAACAAATGCTAGTGTGGATGTGGAGATTGGAGCCCTCATACACTACTGGTAGGACTTTAAAATGATATAACCACTGTGGAAAACAGCATGCCATTTTTTTTAAAAGTTAGAAACCCAAAATTACATTTGATCCATCAATCCACGTCTAAGTGTATATCCTAAAGAACTGAGACACAGGATAAGAATATCTATACACGTGCTTATTGGAGTGTTAGTCCCAGTAGCAAAATGATGGAAATAGCCCAAGTGCCTACTAATAGATAAACGATAGTACATACACACAGTAGAATACTACTCCATATCAAAGAACAGTGAAGAATTCCTGAAACTCTTCATAATGTGGTTGAACCTAGAGGACATCAGGCTGAGAGAAATAAGTCAAACACAAAAGAACAAGTATTATATGAGTTCTTTACTAGAAAAAAGGGCGCTTTGATAACTTAGTGGTAAGGAATCTTGCTGTAAAAGGCACACAGTTCAAATCCAGTAGCTGCTTCAAGGGAGAAAGATGGGCAGTCTCTTCCTCTGTGATTTACAGCCTCTGAATACTGCTGGAGGATCAGCTGTGAGTTAGTTGTGACTCAGTGGTACACAGTAACAGCTGCTATAAAGAGTTAAAGAAAAATTGACACATACAAAGAATGTCCCTTTAATGTTACCAGGAATGAGAAGAGAAGACAGGGGAAATCCCTCACAAGATAAGAGACACATATTTGACACTTCTTTATAAAGTTGGAAAGAGAAATACTATTTGATTCCACAATCCCAGTTCTAGGTATATGACCCAGAGAAATTCGAGCTACAGCATACATAGTCCAATGTGCTCACACTTCTATTTATTGTACTGCTACTCATCATAACAAAGAGTTGGAAACAGCTCAAGTGCCCATCAAGGGACCAGTGGTTCAATAAACTATAATATGTTCACACAATAGAGTGCATCACTCAAGAATTTGTTAAATACTGCACACTATAAATGAAACTAGAGCATATTATGCTGAGTGTGACATCATTCAATTACCAAAAAAAGACAGTTGTGATATATCACCATAATACGAGCTAAGGAAAGGATTTTATATAGATGGGACTCAGTCTTGAGGGCTCAGTCAGGATGATGAGGAAGAGAAGTGAAATAAAAAACACCCCAAAACTTTGCCTCATAAAAGAATAAAAACTAGTTTGAAGGAAAAGGCAATGTAAAGAATGGGCGACGAGCACAATATTAGGGAGCTCCAGTGGTAAGAAGCTGCATTGTAGTGCAAGTTCACCAGCTGCTCCATAGGCGAAGAATGGGCAGTCTCTTCCTGTGAGATTTACTGCCTCTGAACACCTGCTAGAAGGTCAGTGATAGGTCAGTTCCAACTCCATACACAGCACCAGCACAGTATTAGTAAGGAAAAGGAAGACACAGAGAGGTCAATATGACAACAGAGGTAAATGGTCTTATCAGCAGTAACTTAGTAATCAATGAATGAATACAGAGACTAACAGGCAAGTCTTTGGCAGACTGTAGTGAAGAAGAGGTGTGCACTGTGTGAACACATAGATACGCATAGAAATTTGAGGCTATACCTGCAACCATACAGGCTTGCCAGATGTTTTTACGGCATATGCATCCGTATGTGTTATAGAGGAAATATATATGGGGGGAAAAATTATGAAAACTTCATAGCCATAACTCAACCCCTTGAAGGAATGTATTTCTGGGTCTAGGAGCTCAAGACCAAATTTTCAGAAAATATAAGGGTCAACTGGCATAACAATCTACAGACAATGTTCTGCATCTTTCTTTGATGAGTTGCTACTGGGGTCTTGAAAGCTTGCAGTTTGCCATCTAAGGTACAACTGTTGTTGGTCTCTCCCTATCCAAAGCAAAGTAGAATGAAACAGACCACTGGTCCAAAAACAAATGTTCCACCTGAACTTTCATTCTGTAATCCTGAGACCAGACGAATGAGATGGTACCCACCTGCCACTCTGCTAACCATTCTCAAAATGATCGCAATAGAAAGACCCTGATCAGAGTGGGAGAAAAATGTGGAACAAAATTCAGAATCATTGGAAATACCAGGTGTGCTGCTCTTTCCAAACCTGGAACTGAGATCACCCCTGTGAGACAGCTTCCAGTGAGACTACATACAGATGTCCAGTAACTGTGAGCTCAGGCGCAGGCAGACATGAGGGCAAGCACAGGACCGTGCAGTGTTGTGTTCTGTGGGGCAAAGGCTTCGTGTGGGGCAGTACACATTCCACAGCACCTAGCAACAACAACAATATGACCAATAACAGCAGGGAGGAACATGCTCTTGATGAAAAAGGCTGGTTCTGCCCAGGGATAAAGGTCAGAAGGCAGGAAGGAATGGGAAAGGATGAATGGAGTCTATAATCAGGAAGGAGAGGGCTGTTACAGCATGGGGATTGTAATCAATGTCATGTGTATGAATGGAAAACCAATTTACTCTGTAAACTTTTACTCAGATCATAATAAAGAATGGGGTGTTGGTTTGTGTGTGTGTGTGTGTGTGTGTGTGTGTGTGTGTATGTGTGTATAAATGTATTTTAAAGATAATTAAACTTCAGGTGGTCTTGATATTTTTGTTAGATACATTCTGATGTTGCAGAAGAAAGAGGACTAAAAATAACCTACAAATACAGTGGAAAAGGGATTACAGAACCACCTTTTGGTATATTTGTGTTTAATAAAGACACCGGAGAATTAAATATTACCAGCATTCTTGATCGAGAAGAAACGCCGTATTTCCTGGTAAGAGTGATCACCTTTGTATGTGTGTGTTTGTTGTTATTCTTAACTAATAATTATGATTTAATTTATTATTGTGCTATTCAGTTCTTTTTACTTTAATCTCTCTTTTATTATTATTTCAGCTAATAGGTTATGCTTTAGATGAACATGGTAACAATGTGGAAAAACCATTAGAATTGCGAATCAAAGTTCTTGATATCAATGACAATGAGCCGGTGTTCACACAGGATGTTTTTGTTGGGGCTATTGAAGAGTTGAGTACAGCAGGTAAGATGCTATTATTTTTATAAATGAACACCCAAGGTCATTTTGTAACTGAACTTGAAATCTTATCTCTTAATTGGACCTGAGCATTCCCATGGGACAAATAATGATAAACCTATGTTTGGAACTACTTTTATGTGGTTCAAAAGATTTTGTGTGGCATCTTTTTTTACTCAAAAAATAGATATCTAAATAGATAGCATGTACTGATTGATGGAATATGTAAGGTTTTGCAGTAACCAATCATTGAAGTCCTCAAACCTCATTGGGGCGCTCTGGTGGCCTAGTGGCAAGAAGCTGCGCTGCAATCCTGAAGGCACACAGTTCAAGGCCTCCAACTGCTCTGTGGGAGAAGAAATGGGCAGTCATCTCCCATGTGATTAACTGCCTCTGAAAACCCTCCAGAGGGTCATTTATGGGTCTACTCTAACTCGATGGTACACAACAAACCAACCTCATTGCTGTCAAGCCAGCTCAGAGTTGACCCTCTAGCGGCTTTCGGAAAGGCTGTAAATCACATGGTGTAAATTGCCCTTTTTGTCTCTCATGAAGCAGTTGATGGATTAGAACTGCCAGAGAGGTGCTGCCTTTGGGTTAGCAGCCCAGCTCCCTGTGGACTGTGCCACTAGGGCCAAACAAAAACAATGCATAAATGAAATGGGCATGGCCGTGTCCTAATTGACTGATTCTTGAATTACGTTCTCTCTTTTTTTTTTTTTTTACATTCTTTCTATTGTAAGCCTCATTGACACTTTTGTTTAATGCATTGCTTTTTATGAAAACAAAAAACGCATACCTTTGGGTTGCCAGTGCAACTTCTTACTCTAGGCCACCAGAGCTTTCTCAAGAATAGTGTAAAGAATAATCATGCTTCTGATTCATTAATATCTTAATAAACTTTAAAATCATGTATCTGTTTATGCATCTTTCTTTTTTTTACTTCTAGAAATATGAACAATTTGTAATCCTTCATAGCAAACTTTAAGAATTTCACCTCAAGGATTTGTATACTATCCTCAGCCTTGAACTTGTTTCTCCCTCCCCACCCCCCCGGTGGCCTAGAGGCAAGAAGCTGCACTGCAATCCCAAAGGTGCAGGCTTCAAGGCCACCAGCTGCTCTGTGGGAGAAGGGTGGGCAATTAACTGCCTCTGAAAACCCACTGGAGAGTCAACTAGGGGTCGATTTCAACTCATTGGAGCTCTGGTGGCCTTGTTGTTGTCTACCATCAGCATAGGCAGTCTCTTCCTGTGTGATTAATGGCCTCTGAAAACCTGCTGGAGGGTCAGCTGTCCAACATAATGGTACACAACAACATATTCCTTTCATGGCAATTTTCTCAACTAGTGTTATATATATATATATATATATATCCCAGCAGTTCCACTATTGGGAATATACCCCAAAGAGTCCACAACTGACATCCAAGCAGATATATGCACACACATGTTTATCGCGGCTTTGTTCACAATAGCTAGGAGTTGGAAACAACCTAAGTGCCCATCAATAAACGAATGGATAGAGAAGCTGTGTTATATTCACACAATGGAATACTACATTGCATTGAAAAACAAGGAACTCATGAAATATTATTCAAAATGGGTAACTCTGGAGGACATTATGCTGAGTGAAGTATCTCAGTCACAAAAGGACAAACACTGCATGGTGCCACTGGTGTAAAACAGGACTGACCTCGGGGTTGGGCAGAGACTGAGAAAGATGGGTTCAATAACTTATACTGCATTGAAACAGATGAGGGAGAAAACTGTTTAAAAGAGATATGTGATTAGGTATTTTTGTCATGACAGGAGTCTAGAGCGAAGGCTACATGGTGGAGTGGACCTGGGGAGGGTTTGGTAAAACAATGAAATAATTTTTCTTTTACTTTTCCAAGAGGGTAGTGTACTAGGGGGGAGGGTTGGGAGGGGAGAAAAGTGCAACAGTGAATTAATGGAAATCCAAAGTCTCTGTAAATTTTCATTGACATTAATAATAAATTTAAATAAAATTTTAAAAACATATTTTTAAACTCTTTGTGATTTTTTTTGGAGAAACTAAAATTATATGTAAAATAACATATATGTACATCTTACTCGAATCTCAAATTCATTGCCTTTAAGTCAGTCCTGACTCATAGCTGGCCCTGCTTCAGGTTAGGAAGCTCTAAGTCATAGCGGGAGGAGACAGCCCACCTTTGTCCCCAGGAACTGCTGGTAGATTCAAGCCACAGCCTTAACTGATAGCCATGCAACTCGCTACTAGTCTACTGACTGCTCTCATTTCTAATTCCAGGTACACTTGTCATGAAAGTCAGCGCAACAGATGCAGATGAGCCCAATACTCTAAATTCTAAAATTTCATATAGAATTGTGTCTCAGATGTCTACTGAACATTCAATGTTCTACATAAATAAAGATACAGGAGAGGTTTTTACAGCATCTTCTGACTTGGACAGAGAGGTGAGTGGTCTTTCAAGTTGCCTGTCTTTTAGGCTCTCCGCTTGTCCAGTTCCACCTCTGTCTTCATTTTCTTTATCCTTTGTTTTGTATTCTTCATTCAAGGTTGCTGCCTTCTAGGGTTATGCTCTCCAACATGGTAGCCATTAGCCACGTGTGTCGGTGGAGCACTTGAAATGGGACTGGTCTCACTTGTGATGTGCTTTAAGTATTAAATATGCACCAGGAGTGGGACTAACTATAAAAGTGAGAATGTAAACTATTTCCCTAACCATGTGTTGATTACATCTGAAATGATAGTGTTTTGGAATTAATGGATTAAATAAATATTTTTTTTTTAATTAATACTGCTTGTTCCTTTTTAGTTTTTGTACTGTAACTGTAAGTAATATAGGATCTCTTCAGTTGGAATTCTGTTTGGAGAGAAGCCTAAGACAACTCTTAAAAGAACCCTCACTGCCATTGAATCAAAACCAACTCATAGCTGACTCTCCAGTTGGTTTTCAGAGGCTGTAAAATAGCACGAGAGGAGATTGCCCTCCTTTCTCCTGCTAGTGGATTCATACCTCCCACCTTTGAGCTGGTAGAGCTACTTCCTATCCGGTAGACCCTAAGACAACAATAATTGATTTGTGGCTTTACCAAGAAACGTCCAAGTTCTTTTCCACTGCTAATAAATGTATACAGGAGAGAGAGTGCTCAAACTTGGAGTCTTAGTTAAAAACAATAAAAGTATCTGGAAGAAAGGAAATTTTTGCAAATACATATACTGGGAGGAAAAATTGAATAGGTTTTGTAGAACAAGATGTGAATATTCCATTAAATGTTCCACTTTTTAAATTTCAAACTTATAGGAGAATTTTTATTTTAAAAAGGAAATATAGAAAATGCTACATGCAAGAAGGTTTAAACTCTGTAAATGAGAAAAATATTGATCCAGAAAACATTGTATCACCCATAAATCACCATCCAAATATAATAAGTAGAAGCTGCATTTGGAGAAACAATTTACCTCTCTCCGGAGTAGAAAAACATTGTCCCCTACATATCTACTGAGATCTCTATAATGTTGAAGAATATTATAACTCCTAAAATGTGACTCTTTTCTTTCCCCAAACAAAATTACGCAACATATTATTTTGAACTAGCAGTGTGATTTTAACAGCTGCTCTCTCTGAAGTGTAAGGTTTAATTCATAATAATGTGTGTAACTTACTGAGGCTTGAGCACATGCCGCTTGTTCTAAGTTCTTCATACGCATTTACTCATTTAATCTTCATGGTGCAGATCTAATTACTACCCAGTTTTTAAGTTAGGAAATTGAAGGTCAGAGGGTCACAAAACTAGAGTTGGAAATGCAGGTATCTTGGCTCCACAGCTCCACTCCCCTGCTTTTCACTGAGTGTCTCTGCCTCATATCAGCCTCTGTACTTGGCACCAGGTGCCCACCTTCTTAAATTCCAGTGCACTAAATGAAGCTGAGTTAGGGACCACATGGATTCCTTACACTAGGCTAACTCCTTAGACACCAGTCTCTAAGACATGGTCTCTAAGAATCATTTCTCTAAACAGGTCTGGGAAAATTAAATCAAGTATCACCCTCACTAGTCAAATTCTCTCGGAGACCGGGCTTTTCAGCTTAATTTTTACCAGTAAATAAAAAGTAGAATAGAAAACCTACTTTTTTTGTGTAATTTTTAATAGAGCCACATCATCACTTCTGGTATAGAATAAGCTGTATTTTTAAACTGTACCCCTTTATCCAAACTATTTGTAGAAAAAATATCATCTTCTGATAATATCACCAATGATACACTTAAGAATGTGAGTGTCACCCCACTTCTAGACACACTTTTGCCTCATAAAAGCTCTGGCTACAAAATAAATGAAATCTTCAAATAAATAATACTAGCAGGTCATGAAACATGATTGTGTATAAAGTACATTGAAGCCAAGTCTAATTCCTGTGAAATGAATTAAAATAAGAGGGATTTGGAAAAAATTCATTTTTATCCCAGTTGGATGTTTTTCATCACCCTACAGAAACAGAGCAGCTATACTTTGACAGTAGAAGCAAAAGACGGCAATGGACAAATAACAGATAAACCAGTAAAGCAAGCTCAAGTTCAGATTCGTATTTTGGATGTCAATGACAATATACCTGTAGTGGAAAGTACAATGGTAACTATTACTTTTATAATAAATGTGCTTGTCAATTTGTATTTTAGCTGTAACAAAGTATATTTCACTTAAGTTCATATTAAATGAATATGTATAGATATGCAGACATTAAATTACAATAGAAACATGTTCATATTTTGCAGTACGAGGGATCTGTTCAAGAAAATCAAGCCAATGTAGAAGTCATGCGCATCAAAGTGTACGATGCAGATGAAGAAGGGTCTGATAACTGGTTAGCAAATTTTACATTTGCATCAGGAAATGAAGGGGGTTATTTCCACATAGAAACAGATTCTGTAACTAATGAAGGAATTGTGACCCTTATTAAGGTAAGTACCTATAGTTCAGAAAGTAGGGTGAGAGAAGATGATGGAGGAAACGAATTACCATTTGAAGCCAAACTCTTTACAGATGTTTTCTATACTGGCACTGCACCTTTTATCTGCCCACGTTTGGTGGCTAGTGAATGGTGATACCATAATTCAATGTGACTTTTCCTCACTTTAACACTTAAGTGCTTTCCACCGCACCAGTTTGTTTAGATTCACTGAGATGATTCTTTCCGTTATAATGGATAAGCCCCACCAACAGAAGTAATTTCCATCTGCCCCTCATTCTTTCCTTCTTAGGTCAGATTATCTTTTAGGTGGCCCTGAAATTAGCCAAGCTTGACGGGAGACGGATCATAGCAGATAGCATGATACCAGCATCACAATTACTTAGCGCAGTTTGGTTGCTGCGCACAGCCCATTCCTACCGTGGCAGTACATACACCTTTCGACCTCTTGCATGCACTTTTCATATACTCCCTCTTACTAGAACTCACTAATAAAGACAGGTCTCATGAATAACATCCAAAACCAAAAGCTAGGATAACTTGTGGTGCTAATCCACTTGTGTTCATATTTAGATATACCTAGAGTCACCTACCAAGGCTAAATGCCAAAAATGCAGGGTCCCATCCTCTCATCTATAAGTCTAGGCGAGTAGCACTCAGGAGCTCACCTGTTCCCAAAACTACACATGTGATACTGATAGAAGCAGGCCAGCTATCACATTTTGCAATGTAGTATTCTAACCTCTTGTATTTAATTGTATCAAATGAAGTATGGGTTGAATAATTTTTTTTCTATAATTATATTTTATTAATTTTCATAAACATTTACAGAGATTTTGGGCTTCCACTCATTCATTGTTGCACTATTCTCTCTACCCTCCTCCCAGTTTGTTCTTGTCCAAATGCCACAGTGCTTGTCAGAGCCAGTTCTGATTAATCTTCTTTGTCAGTGTATCCTTTGCCATTCCCTATCACTCCTCCCTGAGAGAGACTTCACCCTGAGTCATAAGGAAAAGGGGACGGCGTATTCTCTTAGCTACTTCCTGCTGAAAAGGGACGCTGTGGGTTTCAGGGTGAAGATCTTCTCTCACTACTCTAAAGGGCCCCTTTGGCAGTAGGAAACACATAGACTATTATGGAGATTGATTTTGGAATTCAGATGCACTCTTATTGATTGTGCTTGGCTGTACATGTACATATCCTTCAAGATGTATCATGGGGGTGTTGCAACCTAGAAGACACAAATTTGACTAACAAGTTATAAGTACATGAGTCCAAAAATTATGGAAAAGTAAAAGAAAAGATTCTTTCATTGTTTTACAAACCCTCCCCCAGGTCCCCTCCACCATGCAGCCCTCGCTCTAGTCTCCTGTGATGACAGAAATACCCAGTTACATCTCTCTTTTAGACGGTTCTCTCCCTCCTCTGCTTCAGTGCAGTATACATTATTGAACCCATCTTACTCAGTGTCTCCCCAACCCCAAGGACAGTCCCATTCTACAACAGTGGCATCATGTAATATTTGTCCTTTTGTGACTGGGATATTTCACTCAGCATAATGTTCTCCAGAGTCTGGGTTGAATAATTTAATTAAGCATATAAGCCTTATATATTTTAAACAGAAAACTCCCACATAATTTTGAAATACAAAAATCAGAGGAAAGATTTTTTTCCCTAACAGAATAAATAAGGAAGATCATCGATGTGTTTTTGAATGGTTATGGTTGAATTGTCTTACCAGATTTTAAAGTAGAGTGCAAAGCTGCAACTTTCAAAATAGGATTTTTATTAAGTTACAAATGATGATGATATAATATATAAAAGAATGTAAAAGAATTAAAGTTCCATGATAATTACTATAGGCACCATTTATTGATAATCTATTATATACACCTGTTATCTTTATAACAACAGTAGAAGAAAGTAGATTAGCATTTCTTCATTTTGAAAGGGAGAAGTCATTTTATGATTAGTCAGAAAACAGATCATTGCATTGCAGACTAAAGAGTCCTGTCTACTTATATAGGAATAATTATAATTTTTAGTAATCATTTGTAAGTATGGCCATAGAAGTACTTAAGCTATGAAAGTCATGAACACACATTATAGAGTGATGAATGATGGAGGTGCTGGAATAGTGTTCTCAGAGGGCCATGATAACACAATTCTATAATTCACATAAACTTATTCATATAAATATATTCCATTTTATAATAAGGAAAGAAGTACAAATGGTCAGAATACTTTTAAAACTAGTACCTTGAACACTACCAAAACAAAGCCCAGGATCTATATATACTTGAGTTGATAATTCTGACTGTTCGTAGGTGGCATCTCTCACTCTCGTTGCCATCAAGCGGAGACAGATTCACAGCAGACCTTCCCTCCAGTAGGTTGTCAGAGGCTATAAGTCACAGGAGGAGACTGCCTGTGTTATTAGAAATTATATTGAAAGGAGGGGGCAAACTCTTGGTATTAACAAGCCTTGGTTTTGACAGAGTTAAGCAACATTCTTTAAAAGCTCTACTGGAGGACATTATGCTGAGTGAGGTATCTCAGTCACAAAGGGACAAATGCTATATGGTGCCACTGTTGTAGAATGAGGTTGGCATTGAGGTGGGGGTAAGACTGAGAAAAACTGGATGAAATATGTTTATGGCATTGAAGTCTATGGGGGAGAGAATAGTCTAAAAGTATTATATTTTAGGGCATTATTTTTATCGTAGGAGTACGCAATGAGGGTTGCAGAGTGGATTATATTTGGGGGTAGGGGGTGGGGTTTGGGGAGGTGCGGGGGGATTGTGTACCAATGAGGGAGTTTTTCTTTTGCTTTTCAAGGAGAGGAGCAAACGGGGGGGGGGGGGGGAGGGCTTTGTGCGGGGAGAAGGGTGCAACAATGAATGAATGGAATTCCAAAATCTCTGTAGATGTTCATTGAAATGAAAAATAAACAAACTAAATTAATTTTAAAAAAAGTTTAAAAAAAGAACAAAAAAAATGTTCCACTGTGTTTAATATGATAATATACTGTGGGGGTGTATGTTGGAAGGACGGGGCAGACAGAGCTACCAGCACTTAAATAGCCCTTTCTACTACAACTCATGGAATACATTTGAAAGAAGAGTATTTTATAAGTAATATATTAAGAACTTTCCACTAGGACCAAAAAAAAAAAAAAAGCTTCAGATTGTTAAAAGGAAAAGACATTTTAGAAGACTTTTACTTTTTGAGAAAGAAATGGGATGCATTCTTAAGTTTTATGAATATCTAAAATGACAAAATGTTTTTGTTTTAATTGCTTGGAATTAGGTGAAAATAGGAGCTCCAGAAACCTGTGAGGTAGTTCTGCCCCATCCTAGAGATTTGCTAGGAGCTGAAATTGATGTCACAGCAGTGGGTGGATCAGTGAAAGTACTGGAATAATAAATACTGTTAACATTTTCTCTTGTGTAAATGGCTGCATATAACCGCAAAGTCAAGTGTGTGTGTGTGTATTTCTGTGGTGTTCTAGCTGCTTCCATTTAAAAGAGTTCCCTTCATGTTTGCCTTTCTAGGAAGTAGATTATGAAGAAATAAAGAATCTTGACTTCAGTGTTATTGTCACTAATAAAGCAGCTTTTCACAAATCAGTTCAGAATAGATACAAGCCTACATCCATTCCCATCAAAGTAAAGGTGAAAAATGTCCAAGAAGGCATTCATTTTAAAAGCAGCACAATCTCAGTTCACACTAGCGAGAGCACAGATCGATCCAGCACAGGCAGCATCATTGGAAAATTTCAAGCTTTTGATGAAGACACTGGACAGATAGCCCAAGTAAGGTAAGAGAAACTGTGGATAGATTTCCTCATCTGTAACTATTTTAAATGCCTGTGTTCAAAAGTGGCTCTCTGGTGGTTTAGTGGTAAGGAGTTGTGGTGCCAACCCAAAGGCAAATGGTTCAAATCCGCCTTCAGTGCCGTTTACAGCCTCTGAAAAGTCACTAGTAAACGGAGTCAGTTCTCACTCAATGACACAACAGAAGTAACAGTTACCCTGGTGGTGCAAACACATTCAGCTGCTAACCAAAAAATTAGTGATTGGAGTCCCTCAGAGAAAAGGTCCGGTGATCTACTTCTGAAAAAGAAAAATCACCCACTGAAAGTCCATGGTGCACAGTCACTAAGAAAGCTGGCCCTAAATGAATCTCCTGAACTGAGGAGCAACTTTTCAGTGATAATGTCTTAGAAGTGAAATCCCCACCAGTAATACTGGAATCCGCTATTGAAACTTCCCCCCCACCCCATTTACTTATATCATTGTTGGCTGTAGTTTTTACTAGAAGCTGTAAATAGATCAAAAGATTATGTATTGTGGTAATAGAAAAGTAAACCACGGACCTTGCTATTCCACAAAAGTGTTTAGTTTTTCAGCATTACTTAGAGAACCTTAGAATGCGAAAAGATCCTAAAAATCAAATTCAAACCTACTGGTTTACAGACAAAGAATATTAGGCACATCTAAGTTAAATTATTTTCCAAATGTTCACCTAATTTAATTAGTGTCTGGTGAGGATAAGAGAAGTCATTACTTTTAACTTTGACTTGACTTACTATTTTGATAATCGATATGCATCACTTTTTAATGAATATTTGTGGGCTAGAACTTTTCTTAAATGATGTCTGATATTCATAAGAGAGAACAGGCAATACTTTAAAGGAGATTATGGGAAACATTCTATGTTAAATGGATGTTTATTAGTAGAACACTGCTTTTATTATTATAAGTGTGGATGTTGGAAACACTGACTACAACAAAGTCTAAGCTTTGAAATACAAGGCATGAAATTAATAAATATGTTTGAAAATCCAAATATATTCTAATTTCTGGTAAAATAATTAAAAGTTAAAATTAATTCATTTGAGTGTATAGTTGGAATTTTTTTTTTAAGTACTATAAAAATAAATGTTAGAAAATGCTCCCTTGTTCCTATATGCCAGAATGAACACTTCACAGGAGATTAATTATCAGTTTGATTCATAGAACAAAGTTCTAGATATGTTTGGTTTGTATTTTTCCATTTGGACTCACTGCTGTTTAATTACACCCATTTCTAAGACCATAAACTGAACATTCTTGCTTTTCTATAGCTGTTTCGTTCCAACTTAATTCCTCTAGCTTTGTGGGAAAAGGGACCTCTGGTGGTATAGTTCATAGAGTTGTACTGCAAACCTAAAGGAGGCACCTCGTTGCTGGTTTCAATTCACCAACAGGTCCTCGGGAGAAAGATGGGCAGTCTCCTCCCGTGTGAGTTACTGCCTCAGAAAACCCACTGGAGGGTCAGCTGCAAGTCAGTTCTGACTTTACAGTAATGAGGGTCATTTGTTTGTTATTGTTGAGCTGTGGTGCTGGAGAAGAGTATTGATTATACCATGGACTGCTAGGAAAACCAATAGGTTTGTCCTGGAGAGGGTGAGACGAGGCTGCTCCTTGGAGACAAGGATTCTGAAGCTTCGTCAGACATACTTTGTGCATGTTGCAAGGAGGGACCAACCAGTCCTTGGAGAGGGACGTCGTGCTTGGGAGGGTGGAGGGACAGCGCAAGAGAGGGAGACCCTCGATGAGTTGTATTGATTCAGTGACTAGGGTAACAGGGATAGGTGTATCAGAGACAATAAGTTTGACACAGGATAAAGCAGGGTTCAGAGCGGTGGTACATAAGGTCACTGTGAGTTGCAAGCAACTTGACAGCACGTAACAAAAACAAAAAAATCGCTATATTAGCATTATTTTCACTTTTAACAAATTCTACAAGAAACTGTCTGCTTCTCATAATAAACAATAATATGCCAGAATTATTAAATGCTTCTATTTAAGTCAATCACTGATTTTCTAAAGTTGATGTTTTAAAATACTGATAACATTCCCAGGTGAAGAGTAGACGATAGGCAGCTTTTCTCCACCAGCTCCTGCCTTTTAACTCCACACTCTCTAAAGGCGTCCACTTCCAGGGGAGCTGGGTCAAGAACTGCAGCTGAGCCTCTACACTCCTGGGCTGGGAGGCTGACCGCGACCACCCTTCTCTTAATGACTGTGGTGCAGAGCTAAGGAATGGGCCAAAGTGTGAAAAGGAGTAAAGACGAAGTCCTTTTAGATTGTTGTTGTTGTTGATTGCCATCAAGTTAAGCCCGACTCATAGCGACCCCATGAGCAAAAAGCCTGAAGCCCTTCCACAACCATCACCATTTATCAAAGTTCACGGAGTTTCCAGTGGTGTGCTGCTTAGGAAGTGGGTGCCACTCCTGCTTCCAAGCTTTTAGATTCTCTTCCAGAATTTAAAGGTTCTCAAATTAGTGCCTATAACAAGAACATAAAGAGTTGAACAGTAGGCAGTAAAAGTGGTAAATCCTAAATATATTTACAATTCTTTGCTTATTCTGAATTCAAAAATGCATTTTCTGCTTGCTTTTTAACAGATATGCAAAATTGGAAGATAAGGACAATTGGATCTCTATTGATTCTGCCACATCTGAAATTAAACTTGTAAAAATTCCTGATTTTGAATCCAGATATGTTAAAAATGGTACATATACTGCAAAGATTTTGGCTATATCAGAAAGTAAGTTGTCAAATACCTCTTTTTCTTGATTAAGTTTATTTCCATTTTGTCATCCAGCATCTGAGATCATTCTTTGGACTTTGCCTAAAAATCAAATCTCTCCAATGAGTAAACAAGTACATTTCTACTTACTTAGTCAATGAGAAGACATTACTTGATCTAACTGTGAGATTGTATCTAGTATAGGAAGTATGCTAATTTGTTAGTACCACCTCCTTACAAATACAAGCTGTTTCCATGAAACCACAACATACCTTTTTTTTTTAGACTATCCGAGAAAAACCATCACTGGTACTATTGTCATCACGGTTGAAGACATCAATGATAACTGCCCTACCCTGGTGAACCCAGTGCAGACTGTCTGTGATGATGCCCCCTACGTGAACGTTACAGCCGAGGACCTGGATGGACCTCACAACAGTGGGCCTTTCAGTTTCTCCATCATTGATGTACCACCTGGGATGGCAGAAAAATGGAAAATAATACAACAAGAAGGTAAGCAAAAGAGACTACGTTAAGATCTTAATTCTTGATGAGTATCTAAAATCTACTTAAATGTAGGTGTTCTTCACATAAATGATATTCCCAATATAACCGCTGTGCCACCTGGCTTCCTTATAATTTTTTAAAATTTCTAAAATGAGGTTGTGAATCTAGAGGCATAGGGCCTTAATCTGCCTGTAATAAGTACCTCATTTGAAATAACAAAAGAAGGAGAGAAGGAAAAATAATATCTTGAAGGTAGATGACGTTATTGTTTTATGTACGATTGAGTTGTCACCAACTCATAGTTGACCCTCCAGAGGGTTTTCAAAGGCTGTAAATCATGGGGAAGGACATTGCTCATTTTTCTCCCTTAAATCAGCTGAACTCAAACTACATGCCTTTGGGTTGGCAGCACGACCCCTTACCACTAAGCCACCAGAGCCCCCTGAAGGCAGATAGGTAGCCTACAAGTAGCTCTCAAAACACTGCTGACCCTTGAAAAACAACTATTATTTTAAAGTGACTATTTCAGTGAAGTTTCCAATTTAAAGTGCAAGAAAGTTTGCACTGATCTATAATGGTCTTTGAACTTACTGGGATTTCAAGATGTGACAGAGCAGAGTTTAGGGCTGTTGTACATAGGGTCGCTATGAGTCGCAAGGGACTCGATGGCACATAACAACAACAAATATGATATTTAGAATATGCCAGACGGTTATAAGAAAAACAAAACCAGTTTCCTTTGAGCCTTCTCTGACTCATGATGATACCAAGTCCTAAAAGATTACTATAGTTGTTGTGAACACCTTACTTCTAAATAGAGCAGACCACGTCTAGCCGTTAATGGACGTTTCTATAATTTCCCCCCTTCCTTGGTAATCATTCATTGTATTCCCTTTTGCTTCTCATTTTTACAGGCACCAGTGTCCTGCTGCAACAAAGCGAGCGAAAGCTTGGGCGCAGTGAAATCCAGTTCCTGATTCAAGATGTTCAGGGCTTCAGCTGCCTGGAAAAGCAGAGCCTGAAGCTCAGCGTCTGCAAGTGTCTGGATTCCAGTGGCTGTGTGGAAGCCCTGCGGGACTCCTATGTTGGCCTGGGACCCGCAGCGATTGCCCTGATGATTTTGGCCCTTTTGCTCTTGCTTCGTAAGTATTTAAAACCACCACCACCAGCAGCAGCTTTCTGGTTTTTTTGGTAGTCTAAGTTGTCTACTAATGATGTGTTGCTACACTAATCACTAATTTCTTTGCATTTATTCTTTAGCCAAACACTTGGACAAATTTTACAGTAGAGAAACAAAACCTTATTTAGGACTCTTCAGAATTATTTTTTATGAAATTGAATCATTTCCCATTTTAAACAGTCATGGTTTATCATGCCCTTCTATCACCTAGTGGTATAAATCTTGCTGCTGTCCCCATTTTTATGAGTAGTGTGAGGGTAGGAGTCGTGTCTGTTCTCACCGCTGTATTCCCAGCATAAAGGACAGCGTTTTGCACATAGGAAGCTCTCAGCAGAATTTTATTGGGTGAATTTGGACCCTGGAGACAAGACTCTTTCAAACTCAGCTCCTTCCAGCCAGCCTTCCACACTCGATTTGGCACTGCTCTGCGTCGCCAGACCTTTGCTTGATTTGTTCCTTCACTAGTGCCCACGATAGCCAGAGTCTCTGAGCATTTCAGTACTTCCTGATGTTCACATGATATTCCTAGACTTCTGGAATACCCTGCCTTCCCTCTATGTCCTCCTAAGACTTCTGTCCTTTGACAGTGAGCTTTCTCATATTTAAAACTAAAAGCTCTCCTTTCATAAAACAAACAAAATGTATGTAAAGTCTTCTTTGGATAACTTGAACACCATCTAATACAGTCCTAGTTTTCCACCTAACAACTGTGAACACCTTTTTTTTTTTATCTTTAAACCTATAAAACCTCTCATTTTTGCATCCAGATTGGCATATTTCACCAAAAACAAGCTTTGAGAGTTTGGATCATGATGAATAAAACAAAAGCTGTGGCTGTAAATAAAGACAGACTGAGCTCCCAGAAATGACATGCAAATTCCATAAATATGCTAGATATGTTGACAGATATGTCGAGGCTCACTGTACCTGAATTCACTTTTGTTTTCTACCCAGTTGTACCCCTCTTGCTGCTGATGTGCCATTGTGGAGAGGGGACCAAAGGCTTTGCACCCATCCCTGGTACTATAGAGATGCTGCACCCCTGGAACAATGAAGGGGCACCACCAGAGGACAAGGTCAGCTTCTCACCTGTCCACACGGCCTGTCTTCTTTGGGAATTTCAAGGGCTCATGGCAGATGTTTGAACATGTTAGGTCACGTGACCATGAAGTAGTTATTATAGATTTTATTCATATGCCTTTGTTAAAAAATAATTCTGCTGACATCTATTTAGTTTCTTTTTTTTTTAATTTTATTTTCTTGTTTGTGTGTGTGTACCATCAAATCAGATCTGACTGGTACAGGAGGAAATTGTTCCTCCTTTTTCAGCAGAGCATCTGATGGATTTGAACCGTGCACCTCTGGGATTTGCAGTGCAGCTTCTTGCCACTAGGCCACCAGAGCTCGCCATCTATTTAGTTTCTGTTGCCAGTGCAGCATTTTTACTCTATTGTCCAAGTCTCGTGTTGTTGAGAATGTAGAGCAAGGGCAGAGAATGACAAATTCCCTAACTCTAGAGAACGTGAGAATTCAGGGTAGAAAACTTTGTCCCGATAGTAAATGGACAGTCGTGTACGTCCAGTCCAGTTGCTGTTCCATTGCCCTCCACATGTAGGCTTGGCAGATATAAGCCACACAACCACAGTGGCATTCATAAAATGGCCTAAAATCCTCTTCATCCTCCTTCCCATCTCCAGTATCTCTGTATTACAACCTTCGCCTGGGCCTCTCCCTGCCATTGCTGCGAGCCCCTTTCCCATAGAATGTGAATGTGGCGTCAAGTGTATCACAACATTCAAAATAACAGTGGCTTAAATACTAACTTGAGCCGTTCAGGACGTGCTGCAGGCTCTCCTCCTGCTCCAGCTGCTGTCCTGCTTACCAGACAGCAGAAAGGACTATGGTGCAGGAGACCAGCATTTTATGAGTACGTCCCAGACACCATGTCTACTTATGGAAGTCATGGAGATATGGAAATAGCATCGTGATTTAGAGTAAATGTGTCAGCTTTAAAAAATAGTCTTTGTAAACGTTCATTAAAATTAATAATAATAATTTTTAAAAAAATAAAGATACTATAGCACAGAAAGGGTGCTTTGATGGCCTAGTGGGTGAGGAGTTGCACTGCCAACCCAGACACAGGTGGTTTAAACCCACCAGCTCTCCTTTGGGGGAAAATGGGAAAACTCCTGCCATCTGACTTTTTGTTCTTGTTATATGCCGTCGAGTAAACTATAACTCATAGCGACCCTCTAAACAATAGCTCTGAACCCTCCTCTATTCTGAGCCAGTAAATCTCACTGTCTCTGACACACCTACCCTTATTACCCCAGTTATTGTATCAATCCATCTCATCAGGATCTCCCACTTCTGCACTGTCCCTCAACCCTTCCAAGCATGATATCCCTTCTCCAAAGTCTGGTGCCTCCTGGCTACATGCCCAAAGTATGTCAGATAGAGTCTCAAAACTCTTGCCTTCAAAGAGCAGCTTACTTTCACCCTCTCCAGGACAGACCCGTTAGTTTTCTTGGCAGTCCGTGGTATGCTCAATACTCTTCGCCAGTACCATATCTCAAAGATATCAATTCTCCTGTCATTCTTGGTCACTGTCCAGCTCTCTGCTGCGTACATAGCAATAAATTTCAAAGACCATGGCCTGGATCAGGTGTACCTTAGTCTCTACATTAACATCCTTAATCTTCAGCTCTCTGGAGAGACCATTCTATTTACAGAATCTGAAAACCCTCTAGAGGGTCTACTGTGAGTCAGTTCCAACTCAGTGACACACAACAACATAAACACAGAAACATTAAAACTCAAAACTTGGAGAAAAATTAAAATGTCATTGGTTCAAAAAAAAGTAAAGGAGTGAGACTCAAATAACACGTTTGAATATTTGTTTCCTTCAGTTATAGTTATGTATGGACCAAGATGGCAAATTAGAGGTCTTCAGTGAAATTTAATTTATTAAACTTAAAGTGTGTCTTGAGTTAGCCTCAGAGTAATAGCCTCTCCCATTCTTATGCCCACGTAGTGCATTTCCTTTTCTCCATTGTGTCCCTCCATCCTTCCGACTCACTTCTCAACTATATTTGCTCACACAGGCGGTGCCTCCCCTTGTGGCGGCAGATTTTGGGGAGAGTCGAGCAGTCGGAAACGGAGTAGGGGGTGCGCTGACCAAGGAAACCATTGTGAAAGCGAACAGCTCTGCCTCCTTCACCAAAGGGCTGCACGAGATGTCTGCAGTGGATGGAAGATGGGAGGAACACAGAAGCCTGCTTTCTGGTGGGGCTGCCCAGGCTGCTGGAACGGCAGGAGTCGTCACAGGTACTGAGACCATGCGGAGCACAAGAGCCACCGGGGTTACCAGAGACGCAGGTGCAGCCCGCACCGTTACCACCGCGCTGAACGAGGACTTCTTGAGGAGTTATTTCACGGAGGTAAGGTTTCTTTTTCATATGTGAAGGAAATGCCTGTATATGTAAGTGGTATATATTAGGTTAATCATTGCTTTGGCTCCAAGTGGAGTTTTTTTAAGAAAGTAATTTAGTAGGAACTTATGAAGCCTTGAGGTGAAAATGGTGTGATGGCAACTGTTTTGTTTTAATGAAGTAAAAGAGATTGACCCATTAGAATTAGACCGTATTAGCTACATTATGTGGTGATGACAAATGATACCAAAACCTTAATTCTTAGAAAGGTTTATTCCTCCCTGACATGCATGTTTTTGTCAGTTGAATCAGCAAACTCCCTATTCCTTATTGAGTTCATTCCAGGAGCAGATTGTATCTGGGAAGTTGCCATCCTTGAGCCCTAGAGAAAAGGGCAGTGGCAGAGTAGCCAGTGGCTCTCAAAGTGACTGCCCCTTTCCTTCACCAAAGCAAGTCACATATCCGCCCTGATGACAGTGGCTCTGAAAGTGTAATCCTTTTATAGGAAGAGGCTTGATTAGGGTGGGCCCAGTAGAAAAAGGAAATTTCCTTTAAAGGAAATAAACAAATCAATAGCCCAGACTGACGTAGGTATCTTCGGATGAATGAGCTATTGATAATCTGTTGTTGTTGTTGTTAGGCCCAAAACGATAGGATGAGACTGAGTTAGTTCAGTCAGCATAATGCCCTTCCCTGCAGAGGACTTTTATTATAAAAACAGGAGGATAACTAGTAAAAGGTGTATGGAGCTCCAAGGGAAAAAGGGGTGGGACCAGAGAGGGGTAATGGGCAGTGGGGGGAAATCAAAGGGTCACACAATTTAGTGTCTAGAGAGAGAGGGGGTAAGGGAAATAGGAAAGATCCAGCGGGGATCCAGAAAGGGTAATGATGGGCATAGTTAAATGGTGAATGACTTCATAGCACATAACAAATGAGAATGACTGAAACACAATGTGAATGAAGGATAGTGTGAAATACAATGAACACGAACTTTGTACGCAAACCAATGTAAAAATTAAAAAAAAAATTAATATGTTTAAATTTGTTTTATCTTCTGGGTGAAAGAACTTGACTTCACTTTTGAGATATTTCACAGAAATTCTGAGGGAAGTTTCAGAAAAGATGATCAGACACAGTAAGGAAGCTAATACCTGGAATGGAAATTTGAATTGAGACCTGAGTACCTTTATTGGGAACAAGATACCCACGTCCCAGGGTGTGGGAGGGCAGAGTTAAGAGTATTAGACATCTGAAGGTGGGCTTCCCTCCAGGAAGCTGATTTCTTCCTCTCCCCTCTCTTATGAAGTACTAAAAGACTCCCTTCCACCATTCCACCACCTACCAGCCATTTTCTGCCTGCTCCAGGAATTAATGGATATGGTCAATGTCAAGGCAAAGCACTTCCAGTCCCTCCTCTGCCTAATGCCAAGCTGGATTTTAGCGCCTTGTTACTTATGTGTTGACATGGTTTCCCCCTCATCTCTAACCCTACCCAAGGCCATCTGAGTTATTTGTGTATGTTAATTTTTTCTGTAGAAATCATTTCATTTTAAACTTATTCTGAAGTATGTAAAATTAATAACTTTGAATTTGTTTCCTTGACCTTGAGTAACCAATTAACATTTTGCTGCATTTGTTATTTGCTATTCCCTTTTTGTTGTTGTTGTTTGTTATTCTCTCTCTCTCTCTCTCTCTCTCTCTCTCTCACACACACACACACACACACACACACATATTCTCTTAATTACTATGGCAAACAAATTCAGAAATTTGTCATTGACACAATCTATATTTCACTTTTCACATACTTTGGGCACATGGCCACGAAGCCCTTAGAGAAGGGCATCATGCTTGGAAGGGTAGAAGGACAGTGCAAGAAGAGATGGATTGACACAGTAATTGGGACAATGGGGATGGATGTGTCAGAGTCAGTGAGACTGGCTCAGGACAGGGCAGACTTCAGAGCTGTTATACATAGGGTCACTATTGAGTCACAGTTGACTCGATGGCACATAACAACAACATATTTCAATTTAGCTAATTAGTCCAATGATGTGTGTGGTTTTTTTTCTTTGTTAGAATCTTGCATTCAGTTGATATGACACTTTAGTATCTTTTAATCTGAAGAAGTCCCTCTTCGTCATCCTTGATAATAATTTTTTTTTTTAAAGAATTCAGGCCAATTATGTTGTCAGATGGTCTCAATTTCTGTTTCTCTGGTATTTTCTTCATTTTATACAGTTGGGACCAGATGAGGGGACCTTGTTTTTAAATGCACTTTGTCACTGATTGCATGTCTGTTTCTGTGTGCATTTCAGAAAGCAGCCTCTTACACCGGAGACGACGACGCCCACATAGCCAAGGACTGCCTTCTAGTTTATTCTCAGGAAGCACCCGAGTCGCTGAGTGGTTCCATTGGCTGTTGCAGTTTTATTGAAGAAGAACGAGATGACCTCTTCTTAGATGATTTGGGACTGAAATTCAAGACTCTAGCAGAAGTTTGCATGGGTCAGAAAATAGACGTGGATATGGAAATAGGGCAGAGGCAAAAGCCTGGCACTGAAGCAAGTAGGAACACAACTTCACATGCACACTATGAGCAGACGATGGCTCATTCAGAAAAGAGCTCCCACTCTGGCAGTAGCTTTCACGTTTCAAAGCCTTTGCACGAAGCAAATGCAGAGAGAGAAACTCAGGAACTAGTCACAGAAAGATCCATGTCTTCTAGGCAGGGTCAAAAGGTAGCTGTGCCTCTTCCTGATCCACTGCTTCCTAGTAACATTGTAGTGACAGAAACAGCCTATGCCGCGGCCTCCACCGTGCAGCCAAGCACGACAGTCCTGGGTTCTAGACAACCCCAGGGCCTAATCGTGACAGAGCGGGTGTATGCTCCCGCATCCACTGTGCTGGATCCGCATTTTGCCAATGAAAGGAATGTCCTGGTCACCCAGCGAGTGATACAGTCTAATGAGGGCATGTTGAATCCCCTGGAAGCCCCTCAGCATCTCCCAGATGCACATTACGTGATGGTGAGGGAAAGAGAGAGGGTCCTGGCCCCCAGCGTGGATGTGCCGCCCCCAGTGCCCATGCCCAGAGTAGCAGGGGGAGCGAATGTGACAGTGACAGAAAAAGTGCTAACTCCTGCTTCCACTCTGCAGTCCAATTCCCAAGTCCCCGCTGACACCTCAGTGCTAGCCAGAAGGACCATGGGTTCCGGAGCCACTGTCTCTGGCCCTGGGCCGGACGTTGGCTTCGAGGAGCCCGCGCTTTCTAACTCCACCGTAACCACATCTTCCACCCGAGTCATCAAGCGCAGCACTGTGCAGCATTCGTACTCCTGAACAGCAGGCAGCTACATACGCTCTGGCCCAGGGTGCAGATGACAGCTCCTGAGGTCAAGTTTTCAGTGTCCTGAGCTTTTCATGATCCTGACAGATACACAGAGACATCGGACACAGCACTTTTCCCATTCGGTACTAGCCAAAGGGTCACACTCTCTTTTCCAGGGGTGGTTTTTACAAACGTCCCATAATTTACAGAGAATACAGTGATGATATGGTTTCTTTCTTTATTTTTATTTTCTTCCTTTCATTGTAGCGTGGGTGAAAAGTTTATAGAGAAAATACCTTTTCCATTAAACCATTCATACACTTTTTGTTGACGCTGCTGCTTCTTGAATGTCTGTAAGTGAATTAGGACTAGGGATCTCTAGGGACTACTCACCAAGCAAGTTAACAGACAGTAAATCTGGCTTATAAGAACATAACTAGATTTACAGAAACATTCTGTGCTATCATCCAGTTCATCATCTTTAAATAGGACAAACCACAGAGCGGACTCTTTGTACATCATGATAACATTTAACATGATGGCTCTGAACTATGGACTTGACAACGCCCAACAGACTCTGATGTACCTGGTCACAGTGAATCACTGATGACTCAGTGGCACCTAACAACAACAACAGATCATCAATAACTCATTCATCCGAAGATACCTACGTCAGTCTGGGCTATTGATTTGTTTATTTCCTTTAAAGAAGGAAATTTTCATCTATGTGAAGTTGTTTGAATTTTAGAAGTCTCATCTATAAGCACACACTGTATTCCTGAGTGTGAAAGAGCGTGTGAGTGTGTGTGTCTTATGATCTTAAGAAAAGCACTCACTATAAGGGAGGTCTGGTGGCCTAATAGCAAAAAGCTGCACTGCAATCCCAGAGGAAAGCAGTTCAAATCCACCAAATGCTTTGCTGGAGAAGGAGGGGCAATCTCCTCCTGTACCAGTCAGATCTGATTTGACGGTACACACACACAAAATAATAAAATTTAAAAATTTAAGAAAAGCACTATAATTTTTTTGTCTTTCAACATACATGAAAATACTGAATATTTGTAATCAAAATATTGATCATTTATAATTCAAGGAAGAATTTCTAAGTATATAACAAATGTATTTTTTTTTTATAGTAAGGATATACTGTTTTAAAAACCACTCAGGACCCATTATCTTCTAAACTGCTAGTATTTAGTGCAGTTACATGAACCGTCCATAGTCACACCTGTCACAGCAACCATGTCCATTTCATTCATTCCTGTTTATCCTCAGTACTGTTTATCATCAAGCCTAACTTGATGCCCAGTAGATATTTGTGGATTCAAACAAAACTTTGCAATTCTTTTATCTATGATTGCCAAAAATACCCAAAGACTATAAATCCTGTAATTATGACTTTAGAATTAAGATTTTTATTATGATGTCTCTAAGTCCTCAGGTGGATGGTCATGACTTACTAGTCCTGTTGCTGTTGTTTGCTGTTCGTTCCCACTCTTAGGGGCCCCCTGTGGGTGACAGAAGAACCAGCCCATAGGGTCTTAGCCGTAATCCATCAGCAACTCCGCAGACGGTCTGCCCTGTTGTGATTTATCGCCTCATGCACCTGATGGAGAATCACTGTAAGGTGGAACCAACTTTACAGCAGGGACTGTGAGTTCTTTTTTCAGTCTTTCTAGAATCAGATCAGTAATAACTCTTCCATGGAACCACAGGTTTCAACTGCCATCCTTTAGAGTAACAACAGAGTGCTTAACCATTGGATGTCCTAAACTCCTTATTAAATGTTAGTAGCATCTTACTAAGTACTAAATATTATTATTAAACTTCAAATACTTCACCTTGTTTTGTACAACATCCTTGCCTTTTTGCAAAAGTTATTTGGGGTTTGGTTATTGAATAGAAAGCATTTTTATTGTTTCGAGGTGGGTGGGTGGGTGGGTGGGTAAAATAATCCATTACAAGTTTGAGAATATATGTGCATATCAGTAATAATTTATATAAACATTTGCTACAACAAAGTAGTTTTCATAAATTTATAACCTTCAGGATATTTTGCCAGTGAGAAGAAAGGGAAATTCTCTTTTGTAGTATATATATGAGGCAAATATTTTTAAACACCCTCCTGTGGCAAAGAGGGAGGTCTCAGATACTTCCATGATCTATTTTTTTTTACTCTCTTAGTAATTATTTTTTTAATTATAGATTTGTTCGGTTTCCCAAGTATAGAATAGAAGTACCACTGCTGTGTGAACATGTAAATACTCAGAACAAACAAGATGTGGTCTTAAATTTCCTGCTCAAGCAGACTTGGAAAAATCTAGCTTGTCTCATGTATATAACATAATCACATTTCCTAAACGATTTTCTTTTCTTTTTGAAAGGGGATATATATTGTTTCCATTTGTTCTCTGGAAATTCTATTTGTATGTGTATCATCATCATGCTGTTCACTCTGATGGTGTGTCATTATAAAATGTGTAAATAAAAAGACTGTTTCAGAGCAACTCTTCATGTCTTTTCCCGCGTCCTGTTTTACTGACTAAGATGTTGGCGAGCACGCAGAGAGCAAGTGGCTGTTGGATTTTGATGCTTCTCTTAGGTCTGCTTGGCCTCGCCCTGACAGCTTCTTCATGAGAATGTTATTTCACCCTTTTACGTGATGTTACTGTGTAAGATATTGTTGTTATGTGCCGTTGAGTAGGAATCAACTCATAGCTGACCTTTCAGCAGGTTTTTAGAGATGATTGCTCACACAGGAGAAAATTGCCCATCTTTCTCCCTCAGAGCAGCTGGTGGACTCGAACTGTGTGCCTCTGGCTTAGCAGCACAACTCCTTGCCCACGAGTCTACCTGTTATAAGGAGGCAAAAGCAATGCAGTAACTGTTAAGCCAACTCTTAACTTACGCCACACATGATGTCCCAGCAGGGCATGTGCTCCACAGAGTTTACAATGCCTGTTTTTTCCAAAATAGATGGATCTCCAGGCTTTCCTTTGGAAGCAGCTCTGCGTGAGCTCAGACCTCCACCTTTACAGGTAACAACTAGCTGTGGGGACTGTTTGCATTGCCCGCGAACACTGAAAGTCAGGGAGGTCCAGTTAAACTCACATTTCAAATGACCAATAAATTGTTTGATACCCTGTAATAAAAAAAAATGCCTGTTTGCTTTTTAGCTCAAATTCCATTTAACTGAGAGTCCTGTGTTGTACTTACCACATCTGTCCACTTTATTCCTAAGGGGCCCAAGTTCACTCCATGTTCAGAAAGTAATGTTGGAGGAAGTACAGGACTTGGCTAGATGCACATCCTGCCCAGGGAGATGAAAATCATCCTAACGATGGAAAGGGGCTGTTTGAGAGGCCGCTTGGCATAGTTTACCAGGGGGGAGGAAAATCTGTTTTCAATATTATAATGCTACATTACTATAGATTTTGCAACCTTAACATCAAGACATCCTGGAGCCTGAAAATACATATTGTTCTTGCTGATTTGCATGATTTCATAAACCTCTATATAGTATCCCAGTCACTGGTAAAGATAGAAAGATAGATATAGAGATAGATATAGATATGTTGTTAAGTGCTGTCGAGTCACAGGCAACTCATAGCAACCCTATGAAGGAGAGTCCTCAACGCTTGGGTGTCTTTCATACTCTCCGAGTTCACAGGTTCATAGGGTTTCCAGAAGCAAGCTATTACAGAAGTGGATGCCACTCCTGCTTCCAAACTTGTTTTAATCGGAGAGCTCCACCACACTATCTTTCCGCATTGGGTAACCAACCATTAACACATTTGACAAATCGGTGTCATAGTGTTCAGCCTCACAGCAACCACAAATTACTGCTATACGGCAACTTGTATACCAGGGAGATAGATAGAGATATATAAAATAAGACTTGTTAAACATAACCTAGAAATTAGATAGGCTTAGATCACAATGTGCCGTGGCACTAGGGACATCATTGCTGATGTTAGGTAGATCCTAACTGAAAGCAGAGAGTACCAGGATCTCACACACACACATTAGTTTTCTGTTGCTGCCACCACAAACTTTTGCTTAACAAACTTACAGTCCGGGAGTCAGAATTCCAGCACTGGTCTCACGAAACAAATCAAGACATCAGAAAAAAAATGTTCTCCTTCCTAGCACTTCCTGATCATTTGGGTGTTTGGTAGGATTCTTAGGAGCTGTCGGCTAAGGGCTGTCCACACTTCTTGAGGCCACCTGCATTCTTTTGCTTGTGGTCCCTTTTTCCATCTTCAGTCAGTGACAGCAGGTCAAGTCCTTTCACACTTCAGATCTCTCTTTTCCTCCTGTCCTTCTAATGGACATTTCTTCTAAGGACTCATGGGATCAGCGTCTCTGGGTGGGTCAATAGCATCTCAATGGTCAATGTGAGTGGGAGACAGCAAAGCCAGAGCACAGAAGAGGGTGTGGTAACAGAAGCAGGAACAGGAGTGATCCCATCACCAAGCCAGGAAATGCTGGCAGCTTCTAGAGCTTCAACAAACAAGGAACGACATGTCCTCAGAGCCTCAGAAGGTACTAGTCCTAGTGACACATCAGTTCTAGCCCCAGAAGACACATCTGATTTCTGACCTCCAGAAATGTAAGAGATTGAAGTCATGTTGGTTTTTTCCTTTTAAAAAAAATTATATTGGTTTGCATACAAAATGTGTATGTGTTGTTTCATTCACATACATTGTGTTTTATACATTCCTTCACTCACATTGTGTTTCATATAATCATTTCCATACATTGTGTTTTATATGATTAATTACCATTGGTATAAGCCCACTACGCTGTTTTTAATCCATTCAATATGTGGCAGTTTGTTACAGCCATTACAGGATCTTCTCAACCCTCAAAACGTCAAATGACTTTCTGAAGCACTGCTCCTGGTGCTTATGACATTTTTAGAAGCTGTCAGGAGATTTGAGAAGCAAATGCCTCAGCTTAGCGCAGAGAAGAAAATTGTCTCTTTCCCTCAAACCAACAAAACTATGGA